CTTGGAGGGTTTGGACAAGCCGTATACCTTCGCTTACGATGAAGATAGTAGCGACGACGAACAAGGTTTGGAGAACGGCAACGATGAGCCTGAGGGGCGGGCGGAGGAGGGCGATGGAGGACGTGAGACGCTCATGGAGGGCGTTGACTCCAGCGATAAGACGACGGCGGTAAGTTTGTTTTGCACAAAACCATCTCTTCTTTTTGTTGATGACGATGTCCTTCATGTTGACGTTAGATTGTTTCCGCGCACGGCTACACTCAAATTATGATAAGTTCAGGTTGAGTTTGGCGACGTGACACCCTAACTTCTTGTGTTTCCCGTTGCCTCGTTCGCAGACATCTCTCAACCCCAGACCGACGAGCTAGCTCTTCTGGACGACGACGACAGCATGGACCCACAAGACCCGGAGGATGAGATACAGGGAATGGAGATCCCGGCAGGCTTTCGTATTCAAGAAGCTAAACCCGTTGCTCTTGACAGATTGCTTTTGCGGCGTGGAGTGCTCGTTAGGCTGGGCATGGGGTGGTTTGGAGGGCTGATCACTCAACAATCTCAGAAGGACACTCGCCACCTGTACGACTACTGTGTGCAGCTGGAGCTAGACCAGAGTACGCGCAAGATGAAGTTGCCCTTAGACAAGTACAGCGGAGATTCGGATGCGGCTCTAGGCTCCTGTTTTTTTTTTTTCTTAATATCACACAACAAATCCATCTCTATCAATAGAAATAGGTCTAAGATAGATTAGCAATTAATCCATAGCATGAGCGAAAGCTACCTGCATGTCTACGGTTTCCCAGACAGCATACAGCGATATCTCCCCTGTGGGTAACAGGCTCAACAAGGCAGTTTGGTAGCCATCTTGCGTATCTATCTGCATGTTATGTTGGGAAGTTGTAGACGGAAGATCTAGGGGAACTCGGTTTGTCGGGTGTTCTAATATGGCACGAGTAATTCTATTTACGACACCGGTGTCGTAATTCTTATTTACGACACCGCCA